AAACAGTGGGAAAGTGTAGACCACTGGCACCACGTGGAAGGGAGCTACCCAGGCGCCTCCTAACCCACGGCTGGCCAAGACGAAGCAATGACCCTGAGCCGGCAGTCGTTGCGGGCAATGAGTGCTACCCTGACTTCCAAGACCGAGTCTCCGCCTTTCTTCAACTCCCACAGCCTTCCAACGAGTCCCTTTTTGGCTTAAGTCAGCCAGTGCCTATCTCTGCTGCTTTTAAGCATAGCCCCCAAGGAAATAGCATTAGTAATAATTTAAATAACCAAAGAATTCCAAGTGGGGTGCCAGGAGGAAATGGCGGAAGTGAGTAGGCAGCAAGTCCCGACCTCCTCACAACCGGGAAAGAAGGAGCAAATAAAAGCAGAATCAGGACTTTACTATGGGTTTATACCGGGATTTGAGGAACTGCAAAGAACAACTGGAACAAGTTTTGGTCTTCAGGGTTGACTAGGCCGAGCTTGGCTCAGAGGTGACTACAGTAAGGAGGGCTCAGTGGTATCTCTTCAAGTGGTGCTGACACTGGGATCAGCAGAGGTCACACTGAATTAAAATATCCTTATCCGGATGTCCACTCAACCCAGGGCTCTTAAGAAAAAGAAGCTCACAAAGTTGTTCTTCACTTAGAAGAAGTCACAACTCTCTGATCGATGGGTAGACATATGCACAATCTGAAAGGGCAGGGAACAAACTGTCCCCCCCCTGACAGTGGCTGGAAGGAGCAGCCACCCTGGTTCTTGGAGATGATTGCAGAACGAGGAGCAGAGAACTGACTGGATTTCAGGTGCATTAGTGATGAAAGAGACAAACTGGATGCAAAGTTGAGGAGAATTTAGTTTCCTGAGTATATTCCCAAAGGTGAGGCTGGAAAGCTGATGAGCAAGACCGGGAGGTGTCATACAGGTAACACTCAGATGTTTGGACTTTGCCGGGGGTGGTGGCGCACACCTGTAACCCCAGCGGCTCCTGAGGCAGGAGGATCCCAACAACCAAGGAGCTGTGACCAGTGAGGAGACACCAGCCACCTCCCAGGAGGCTGTCGATGTTCATGGAGTGGATGCTTCATGATCAACCTGCACATGCTCAGCACTGACACTTAAGAGGCACAAGGTGAGCACAGCTCTGGGGCCTGCCCATTCCCACGTAAGACACAGGCCCCACAGCGCCTTCATTCTCGGCACCTAGCTAGGCCACGTGGAGAGAAGGAAGCGCAGGAACTGGTCCTGGCCTTGGAAGCACTCAGAGTCAGGGTGCTCCTGGTGCTGTGGGGGAAACCAAGGCAAGACACACCCAGAACCAAGGTACCACTCTCAGAGCGAGACTGGAACACGAGACCAGCGGGTACTGTCCTAGGCCGTCACCCTGTCAGCTCTGTGGCGCACTCGGCTCTTCTTCCGTGGCTCTCCTGCCCCTTGTTACTGGAACCTGTTACTCTGATCCTACCTCCCACTGAGGTCCAGGCCTGCTTTCCAAGCGTCAGTGAGACACCACCACTGTGGTGTCCCATGGCTTCTTATGGGATGTGTCCCAAGCCCCACTCATTCTCCTGCCTCTTAACCTGCTTTGCCACTGTCCTCCTTCTCACGTAGTGGCCAGCTGTGGCTCAGCAAGGTAGAAACGGGTCCCCTGTCTGACCCATTCCTCTTCATTTCCCTTTATACATTACTCACCCAGATCCTCTGCATCCATCTCAGGAATGTTCTAGGTTGCCTGTCCTCAGTTCCCCGCGGGTTCAGAAGCCCACACTTTTCACCTGTGCCACGGCAGCAGCCCCGTGACTTACTCCTCTGCTTGGGCCTCTCTCTGCGGCATCACTTACCCGCCTGCTGATCACTGTTCTGATTCTGAGACCTAACTTCACTGTTCTGTTAGGGTTTCTGCACTGGCTCTCAGAGTCTTTAGGATGAAATCAAACCTCTTTGTTTTTTGGTACCAAGGATTGAACCCAGGGGCACTTAACCACTGAACCACATCCCCAGCCCCTTTTTAGTTTTATTTAGAAACAGGGTCTGCTGAGTTGCTTAGGGCCTCACTAATTTGCCAAGGCTGGCTTTTAACTCATGATCCTCCTGCCTCAGGAGCCGCTGGGGTTACAGGTGTGCGCCACCACCCCCGGCAAAGTCCAAACATCTGAGTGTTACCTGTATGACACCTCCCGGTCTTGCTCATCAGCTTTCCAGCCTCACCTTTGGGAATATACTCAGGAAACTAAATTCTCCTCAACTTTGCATCCAGTTTGTCTCTGTAGGTCATCTTTCGTCACTAAGGCATCTGAAATCCAATCAGTTCTCTGCTCCCTGTTTTGCAATCATCTCCAAGAACCAGGGTGGCTGCTCCTTCCAGCCACTGCCAGGTGTTTCTTCTGTACACCCCATGAGACCAGTCCTGCTAGCCTGACCTGTCAGCCAGGCCACACACCCGCCTGGCTCTCGAGCACCCTCCCACTGGTCCCTGTGAGTGAGCACCACCCGCGCTGTTCTGAAACCCTGTCCATCTCTGTAAAGAGGAAGGATTTCCTGGGGGTCACCTTCTTATTTACCAGCACGTCTGTTTTTTACTTCTTAACCCAACAGTTTAGAATTGCAAATAAAGCTCACAAGTAATTAAGTTGAGTGGGTTTTCCTCCCCATAGTGCCCACTGCTGCCAAGATGCTCGATCCAGGTACAGATGTCTCCAGGTGCTGACGGGCCTTCTTCACCTGCGGCGGACCCTCCCTGAACCTCCACTCCCAGCTTCTTCTGCCCAGCCAGGCAGTGTGCTGCCAGCCCCTCCTGTACCACGTCACTTCAAACATGGGGAGACATCTTCCATGGTCCCACTCTGAGCCCTCTACCCTGGAACAAATCCTCCAAGCATTCCTCACGAAATTCAGTGACTGACGGAACTCGTGACTCATGGATGTGGTCGTTGGTCAACCATGGACCCCTGTTATCTTCCCACTGATGTTTCCATTTCCTTAGCGGCTGGCCTCAGAAATGAGGTCACTCTCCAGGTCTCAAAAGAACACACCTATCAAAGAGGCCTGCGGGATACAACAACCAAACAACTAGGATGTTCAAAACTGGGACAGTGTTTTGAAATTTTTTACAAAGGAGTATCAAGGCCAACAAGGCTCAGTTTTGCATTCAGTACTTTATGCACCCAGAAAATGTTCACAGATTGCCAACTAACCCTCTGAATGGGTAACCTGAGTCGTGCTGCCCTAACGTTTCCATGGCCCATCCATCCCACTTGAGCGTTCTCACGTGGCCACGCAGAGCCATGCGGTTCCTCCCCCCAGCCCTCAACCGGGTCTGCTCAGCTGGGCTGCTTTTCCCACCATGAACTTTGATCGACAGCTTCTCCAGTTTCCCCTCAAGATTCTGTTCAGAGTAAGCACTGATTTCTGTCCTTCATCTTGCCTCCTGCCATTGGTGACCATGCTCTTCTGAGCCTTGCTCTCACCCACCAGTTGCGGGTCCCTTTGGCCCTGAGAACAGCATCCTTGACCCCAGTTGCTTCGTGTGCGGTGATGGGGAGGAATGCTCCCACCCACTCCAGCACGAATTCAGAGGACCGCTTTCCCTCAGTTCATTTCCCTGTGTGCAGAACAACTGGGACCAATGTTTTCAAGTGGTTTTTACCTGTGGCCTCGTTCTCCTTCACAGTCAATTACTTCTCTGCAAATGGCCGCCTGGTCAAATAACTGTGCCCACAATTAGCTAATTGCAGGCTCAATGAGCCACTTGTTCCTCCAAACTTGGCTATTAGAGTTGTGTGATTAAGCAAAAATTAATCTTCTTTATTCCCTTCTGATTCATGGAGCCACAGCAGATCTCAAATTCAGCCTCCTGTGTTCTTTTGCAACATTAATATAAGCCTTTGGGTTTTTATTTCCTTTTGAAAGGAAATAAAAAAGTCTCAGCAGTTATGCTTTGTATTTTGGGCCCCAAGATTAAGTCAGCCTTCTAGCAAGGTGCCCAACGTTACCTTTAGTCCAATTTGTAAAATGCACACTAAGGCTTCAGAACAATTGTTTTGCCAAAGTTATGCGATTAAAACTATGGTTAGACATTCTAAGTAGAAGATGCCACTTTATTTCTGGCAATTCAGGTTCCCACAAAGGGTAAAAATCAATCTTCAACCTCGACTGCCTTTAAAACAAGGCGCCCTTATCCATTCTCCAAATCGCTGTCACTTGATGTCTTGGAAGCTACAAAAAATGTAATTTATTCTGAAAAATTGCTTCAAGTGGATGTCTTCAATCACCCCTTCTCCTACACTTGAGGCAGTTTCTGCATGCTTTATTCTAATTTTCTTATTCAGCCAACATCTATAGAACACAAAACATGCACTCAGTTTTCAGTGTCAACAGGAGGTCATTTCTGGAACAGGCACATTCCTTGACTCCACAGAGAAGGAGCCACCAATCAGGAGGAGCCTTCCCTTACAAAGAGACTGACAGTAACGAGGATTGAATCTATGTGCTTTTAGTCACTCAGACCCCTTTAGGCTTCCAGAATTCGCTTTCCAATTAAACACGAGGACATCTCCCAAACAGTTCTTTGTGTGGTGCACCCTCTGCTAGGGGACTCTGGTTTATAGCCACCTCGTCTGTGACTGTCTTCAGGAGAGGGAGTGAGTGGGAAGGACCCTGAGGTCACTAGAGCCACTCACACACCAAGGAATTCTAACTCTCCTTGGTGTCTACCCTGCTTCAACAGTTCACCGATGAAGGGCCAAGTAAAGAGTAACAGCGAAGTCCAGGTTAAAGGCAAAGAGGAAAGCAGGAGGAAAGGAAGAGAGGAGAAAACACTGGGCCCAGGCTAACCGGGGCTGCAGCCTCCAGGAAGCAAGACATCCATAAAGCTGCTGCTCCCAGGCGCGTCGTCTAAAGCAGACTGGTCCGAGCACAAACCAGAAAGGCTGCATGCAAGCCACCAACACTCTCAGGCAGAGATGTGAGCACAGGGACAGTGTCCAGGCGAACCCGGGCCTGGCGGTCACTTACCCAACACCAGCAGCTCCACCGAGTCCTCGTTCTTGCCCTCCAGGTCATCGGGGGTGGTGATGACACAGTAATAGAGCCCACTGTCGCCCCACATGAGCTTTCCAATTTGAAGATCTGCATCTGTCACGAAAGAAGGACCCAGTTCTCAAACTCTGTCCTCAGCAAGAAAAGCACTGAGCAACTGGGGACGCGAGAGGCGTCTGCAGTGTTCTCTGTCTCTGCCTGGATGGCGACTGAAAGATGTTCCTTTATTTAAAACAAAACCATTACAAAAACTGGCCTCCCTCGGGTGGGAACCAGAGACAGTGCAGACGCATCTCGCCCCGGCTGTGGGAGGGATGGCTTCCACCCAGGCCTGCAGAGGCCCCGAGAGACGGACAAGTTCCAGAATAACCCTGGACTCCTAGAAATCAGCTGATCTAATAGGAATTCTCCACAGTTTGAATAATCAAACAGCTTGTATCAGACTCCTGGAACTTTTTTTTTTATCCCAAAACTTAGGGAGCAGGAGACAGGGTGGAACTGATACAAAATCCCCCGGGGCTCAGGCCACACATCCGCCTGGCTCTGCAACTTGTGTGCGACCTCCCTTCTCCCTGGGGAGGAGGTTCTTAGCAAAGTCTGCTTCCCAGGCTGGGAAAGGGCCAAAAAGGCGCTGTCAAGGCTTAGGACGTGGGACTGAAGTTCCTTCACTGGAACCTACTCTGACTCAGCTCCAAACCTAAGCAGTGCCCTCCGCGGGCCTCTGTGCTCTCTGGAGGCTGCACTCCCCCGCCTACGCCCAGCCACCTTCCCCTAGAGCAATCTGCTAGGTCTCTTCATGCTCCCACCTCCTATAAAGTGGGATCTCAGGGGCTGAAAGAGTGAGAGGCTGGTGTCCCCTTGTGTCAGCGGAGAGTACAACTGACCTCCCTCCCTTTTCCTAGAGTCCAGACAAGGGCATCCGTACCGTGAACAATGGTGATCTCTCTGCCCCTGTAGAAGTCTCCCAGGGTAACAGTGGAGCCCTGTTTTGAAGCCACCACTCGGACTGTCCTCCTGCTGTCTAAACAGTCCAAGTAGGGGTCCCATTCCAGGTTCCTCTTGCTGAGTGACTGGGCCCGAGGGGAGGACATGCCCAAGGACTCCCCCATGCGATCCTGGCAGTAGGACTTGAACTTCCACTGCACGACGGCAGGCCGATGGGAGGAGGTGGAGAAGTGGCAGCGAAGCACCGCGGGCTGGAAGAGCATGGCCACCTTCCTCTTGTCGGGCACTGTCACCTGGAGGCCTTCGGCCACGGCTGCAAAACAGAACACGCATGTCCACACAGGGCCACAGCCCGGCCGCCCACCACCGCCTTCCCACTTTACTGCCCCAACCGTTTCTGCCCATCTTCTCCACTGGAATCGATGGCATCCAGGTCCACCTGGTGTTCTTTTCCAGACACCTACTTCACTCCCTATGTCCAGTCGGTCACTGAGTCTAGCCATCGAGATCTGTTAACATGTTTCTTGCCTAGAAGATGATGAAAACCTCCGTCAGATCTCCCTGCATCCCCCTGTCAACATCCGGACCGTCCTCCTTTCTAAAATTCAGGTAACCTTTCTAAATCTGACAGTTGGTTCTCTTTCTTAGAAATGCTCCACCCCTCCTCTATGACCTCGAGGACCCTCAGCAAAGCATCTAAGGTGCTCACCACCTGCTTCCTCTTCCCCTTGCAGCCTCAGCTCTTTGAAGCACCTCTACTTTGGCACCAGGCTCCAGGAGTATCAATCAAATGCCCGTCAGTCTCCCCGGACGGGATGCACCATCTCACACCCCCAGGCCTGTACACACGGTGTTCCCTGCTTCTGGAATGCTTTCCCCACTTTCTTGGGAAACTCTTCTGCATCCTTCAAAACCCAGCTCAAAGGCTTCCTCACCAACCCAGTTTGTCACGTCCTCCTTTGTGCCATCGGAATATCCAGCATTCTCTTCTAGACATTTATCACAATAATTTTGCGATTATTTATTTTCATTCCCTTTCAGGTGAGAAGGGTGATTACCTTGCTGCCCTGGCTTATGAAGTCCACAGATACTCAGCATATGTTCCACAAATAGTGTAAAAGAAGCCAGGAAGTGTGACTTGAAGAGGAGGTGACTTCCCTTCCTGCTGGTGACCAAGTAAAGCGGACAGAGATGAAGGAGAAGAGAAGTCTTTATTTCAGAGCAAAGGCAGCAGACTAAGTCCAAAAGCTTTGAAGGGTAGCCAAAAGAAGAACTAAAAAGCAGATTAGAAGTTTAAGTGGCAAAAAGATCCAACCTGAGGCTTGGTGACTAAGCAAGATGGAAACATGGGTGAGTGAGAGATCAGCAGAGTGTCCAGGAGACCTTGAAGGGCCACTATGAACCTGACCACAAGATTTAGACATCCCAGGCAACAAGACCAGAAGGTTCCCAGTTGTGTGGGAGAGTTTCCAGCTTGGGAACATCTGTTAGAAGCAGAAATTGAAATATGACAAGAGGCAGAAAAACGGGATCTGAAGACAGAGGGACGAGGTTCCAAAGTGGACGCAGGCACCCAAGGCAGAGTCTTGCCCTAGACCTGCAGTGGGGACCTGGGACACCGAGCAAGGTCTGCTGTCCCAGGTGCCTTGTGTCCTTGCCCACGATGACATCCCACAAAGTCACTCCCTCTCTGAGGCTCCCTCCACCAGGGCAAGATAACACATCTGTACTCAGGTCTTTTGATTTCCAGCCCAGAGTTTCTCTTCAATGAAAAGCACAACGAGAACCTAGATTCTAATTCCCCTTCGAGAATGGCTTCTCCATTCCATGCAACCTGGAAGTGAACACAAGAGGATTTGAGATGTATCAGATCTCAGCCTTCTGTACCTGCCAGGTGCTCTACAGCTACCTGTGACTGCCCGGGGAACGGATGAGCCAATGGGTGACTGCTACAGGAGCATGTCCAGGACTCTCCGGGGAAGCTGGTTAATGAGTCACCACCGTGTAGTATAGTAAAGAGCGCTGGCAGCAGAGGCGGGGCTCCCACCGTCTCCTGGCCATGTGCTAGTCCTGAGGCCCTGGTGATGTCCACAGAGCAATCTGAGACTCGTGATCATCATAATGCCCACCCCCAGGTCGTTAGCAGATGTGACCTCATCAGGCAACTCCACAGAGTGGACTCCACAGAGGGCGCTGACCCAGGTAGAAGGCAGAAGAGAGTGTACCCTGCCTCACCTCCCCACCTCCCGTTCTGAAGCTCCTGCATCCCAAAGACCACCCACCACCACCAGCTTAGAATATAGGCACATTAAACAGATTGGAAACTAGTCCCCACGCTCCCCTTCACACCCCCAGATGTTGCGGTCTGATTCTGCTCTTCCTGACTCACAAGGCTGCATTAGAAAAACACACGTCTGCACAGCTTCTCCTTAAATTCTACTGCACTGATTTCTACACTGATTTTCAGTCTTGTGATTCTTCTTCAAATCTTTATTCACAGCCCAATTTTTCAGATGATAAAAAGGAACAGGAAGGTGAAGTGACTTCAGTCAGAGCAGTTGGGCTGGATGATCAGTCCCAGGCACTGTCCCGGGGACACTCTGTACTTGGTCATCCCCCTTCTGCTCCGCTCCCTACAAGGCTCCACGGGTAAAGCAGAGTTCTTAGGCTTCCCAGGACAAATAAACCCAGCAAAGGAGACAGGTGCCCCATACAGTGTGGTGGGGGGTTAAATGTTCTTTATCATTCATTTATTTATGTTGAGAACGAGAGCTGAGTTGGGGTTTTGTTCATTAAATGACTATGAAGAATAGCCTCCTCCCTGGCTATGTTTCTGTTAATGAGATTAGGCATTGAGCAAGCAAGCCACTGGACTCTCTCAACCAATTATTAACTAGCGTTAGTCAGTCCTCAGCCTCTTCCATGACAGACACAGACTTGCGCTCCCAAGAATAAGGACTGCTTTCTCAGCAACCTTTGCTTTTTGACAGCATGACAGTTAAAGGCGCAGACTCTGGGGTCAGGCCTGGATGAGAACCCAGGCCTTACCACTCCAACCTACGTCCGTCCACCTTATAAGGTATCAGCCTCAGGCGGACTGGTCAACTCAGGAGGGAATCCAGAATGACAGTTCCAGCCTTGTGGCGTCGTCTGAGAGTTAAACGACATTCTATCTTAGATACTTAGGAGAATGCCTGGTATACAGTAAGGACTCAATAAATCTGGTTGCTGCCGTTGTTGCTGTGGCTGTCAAGAGTAGCCTCTGACTTCCATGAAGCTGTGAGCCCAGAGCGGGGCAAGCAAGCTGCCCAGGTGAGATGGGAAGTGTGAACGGGGCGGGACGGGCAGGAACGGCCCAGCAACGCTGGACCTCGTCATTAGGAGTGGACGGGGACAGTGTCCCGCTGTGCTTCTCACCGCACATTGCTCAGGCACCCCGGAAACCAGGGAGAGTGCCCTGTGTGTGTATGTGTGCGTACGGGCACACACACGTATGTGAACACGCGTGCGCACCTGTACAAATGGACTACACCAAGGAGCGATCTGAAAAGCTGGAGAAGAGGGTTAGGGACTCTGTAAATGGCAGTTTATTGGATCTGTGAGGACCACAGAGTGAAGACCAAGCTAAAACTGCCAATCCCCGCCGCCTGGTGCTTCAGGTCTCAAGCTGTAAGACCCACCAATCCCAAGCCTGCCCGACCAAGCTTACCACGAACTCCATCCCCACGAGACTCGCGTTCCTCCTAGTACCGTGACTGACATAATGCCCACTCCCCACAGTGCCCACTGTGACAGGACAGTGGATGAGGGTGCTAGCCTTCCTGGCCTCCGCCTCCCCACCTCCCACTCTAGCATGGGGCTGGAATGGCTCTGGCCCTGCCCTGACTCCTGGTGAGAGACTGGGTCTCGTGTACCCCAAGCAGCACCTCTTTCCTGCAACCTATGTCCACCTTACATGGAGCTGCTTCCCCTTGGTGTCCTGATGTGCAACCCCATCCCCCCATGGGACAGAGCCTTGCCCTGAACGCCAGTCTGCTTTCCTGGGGCCCTGGACCAGCCCCTCTCCTGAAGGTTGGATATCGCTTCCTGTAGGCCTCATGCCGGACTGACCCAACTTCAATGCTGTTATCCACCCGACTCGGGGGACTTCTGCCCCATTCACAGACCTGGCTCTCCAGGGGTGAGGGCTGACCGGAATGAGGATTTCCAGTCTCCCAGGGACACTCAGGGTTGACTTGGAGACACCCTCTCTCTGGCTCCCGTTCCCAAGAGATCTGCTGGGACTGTGTCAGTGTGCTGAGCTGGGTCCTAACTCTTTAGAGCTTTTAAAATATATTTTTTTCCTATTCCAATACTTTCCAGAAGCAAAAAATGTAATCCTTCTTATGCGTGAAGCTATACAGGCTGATACAAAAGCATAACTACCACTGAAGGCCAGAGAGATGGATTTAAAAGGTTCCGCCTCTTTGTTAGGCCAAGCTGCTCATCGGATCTAAGAAGCTGTATCCATCCCTGTGGTTCCAACTACCAGCTTTGTCCCACACCTCAAGTCCCTTAAGCCTCGTTGGTGGTCGACAAGTGCTTCAAGTGGAACATGGGTAAGCCTCACTGATCATGTCTCTCCACCAGCTCTGGTTCATGAGCTCCGTGCCTCGTCCTGAGCTCTTTGGCCTCTTCCATTTACCCTGCGGCCTCAGATGAATCTGGCCTGGACAATCTCTCCATCTGACTATATTCAGGTGGTCACCAAGTCTCGGTCTCTCTCGAGCGATCCTTCCCTGTCCCACTGTCACTCCCTAAATCAGGTTCCTGTTCTCTCTTCCTTGACAATAGTTGTCAGCACTTAATGGGTGTCTGAGATTGTGCTAAACTTCTCGTAGCATTTGTTTTCTTTTATTTCAGTGCTGGGGACAGAACCCAGGGCCTTGCCCATGCTAGTCACACTACATCTTAATGAATTCTCTAAACAGTCCTGTAAAGTAGGCCCTGCGTGTTACAGATGAAGACACCGAGGCTGAGCAAATGTGTCTGTCCTGCCTAGCATCTCAGGGCAGCAGGTGGCCGGCTGGAATCCCGGCTGACGGGCTCCAAAGCCTCCTCCTCACCTCACAGTTCATCACCACCAGTGCTTTCCAAGAGCCTCAGAGTGGTCTGTCTACTTCCAGGCTAGGCCACTGTCCGCATTTTTCCAGAGTCTTCTTCTGAAAGCACATATCGTCCAATCATGTCAGTTCAGTTTCTTGCCTTAAGGTCTCACTGACTCCCCAGTTCCTCCAGGATAAACCCCACACACCTTGACCAGGCTCACGTGGC